TAACTTTCAAATTTCAGTTAGTAGTTGGTTCACTCCAACATATCATTTTAGAAGAAGCAATAGGTAAAAACGTTGCATATATAAGTTTTGACAAAATGACTCCCAGCAGGGACCTGCACCTAATCTTCAGAAAATCTAACAAGATGAGACTAAATTTAGTTAATGAGTTCTTTGCTGATAAAGATAGTAGTCAACAACACACCACCATAATAGAAAATGACTAAATGAGAATGGAAGATCCATGAAAGAATCAATATTTGTCACAATCTATTATGAAATGAGCTGCACATCATTTTGCAAACTGACCTAGAAGGCTGAATGCTGACATTGCTGCATCATCCCCAATAGTGACGTGACTGTCAACATAACTGCCAACAATAAAAGCAAGCTGGATTCAAATAACAGAATAACTTCAGAAAGTTTCCATTATTCATTAGTTGACAAAGAGTAAGCAGCATTACACGAAATGAACCACAAACAAGTACGAAGAAATGCAAAATGAAACAAGGAAAAGAAATCTTTTATATGTTTAAACTGTTTTCTAGAAAGCATGTATAGCCAACAGCTACTCAGAACCTTAGACCATCAGAAGAATTCCTATACAACACTTGTGAACTAATTAAGGCAAGTTACAAAAGGAATCAACTGGAGTTACATCAATGGAGGAGGCATTTATGCCAGTGATTGCTGCATCAGTACGTGATCCATACCCACTAACATTCCATAACTAATATGGCAATCTCCCATAAGAATATTCCGGATTGTCTTGAGCCTCTCTTGTTGGGTTCTTGAGACCTTCATTGAAACAAACTCCACATCACCAGAAGGGATGAAAAGAAATAATTCGTCAAGATAAACAATATGTTAATGACAGCAGGTGAAGACATTTTTGTTTCGGATGAAAAGAAATAAGCAAACGCTAATGTACATATTTTGTTTCGGATATTCTGATTTCATTAGGAACAAACATTTTATTTCAATCTTCGCAAGCAGAAAACAATCATCTGATTTTTGAGTTTACACAATACACAACATACCATCTAGTTAGGTAATTAAGCAAAAATCATTAATTTATCCAACACGTATTCACCCACTAAGTGATTAATATTTTCTATATTTTTGGTAACTTTACATACACAAATAATTTTTTCAAAGAAATTATCACATGTTAACACAGTAATGGATCCGGCCCACCCCATCCAATGGATTTAGTTATGCAGTCAGAGACTGCACGACTCCGAATCACAACATAATACAAGAATTTAAAATCCAAAAATGAAAACACAAAAAAAAAAATAAATAAATAAATTCCAGCTTCTTACCTGTTTGTGAATCAGATCACCAGCCAAAGAATACGTGCCGACAGCCGCTACCCTAATCTCGTCAAAATCCAGCTACTAGACGACAGGTTGGGTCGGATCTCCACCCTGCGTTCATCCAGATCTGTCGATCAGACCACCCAAGGACCAGAAAAAGATTTTAGTTGGCGATGTCAAGAGAGTGGGCGTCCAGAGCGCAAAGGACCGTCAACCATCCCGACCAGATCCGTCATCGCTCAGCCCCTCGCAGGCGATGCAATTGCAATTTTGCAACCCACGTCCTTCGGATGCGTCCACTTCCGACGCTGACTGGAATTTCAATTTTAATTGCTCGGAGAGAAGTACGGTAAAAGGAATAGAATAACAGGCCCACATATTTAAAATAAAAAAATTGTTTTCTTTCATTAAAACGCACCGTAAAAAAGGAGAGGAATGGAAGAAAACTTAGAAAAGTGATAACATAATAAACATTAAGTTTAATGAAACAATTTAGATTTTTGATAAAAGAATTATATCGTTCAACTTTCAAAAACTCTTGACAAAAGCATAAATTCTTGCTGTGATCTATTATGAAATAAGGTGCATATTGTATTCTTGCAGAACACAAGAAAATTACTCACCTGAAAACTAATAAGATCACAGCATCATCTCCTATGGTGACTGCACAGACTGTCCGACAATGAAAGCAGCTGAATTCAAATATCAGCATAAATTCAGAAAGTTTCCATTATTCATTGGAAAAGATAAAGCCGAATAACTAAAAATGAAACAGGGAAATAACGCTTTTGTATATGAATTTTGGTATTATAGGTAATAAAATTCACATTTTACCTAAAGAACTAAAAATGAAACAGGGAAATAACTCTTTTGTGTTCTTAAATTATGTTTTTTGTTTTTTTTAAATCATGTAACCAATAATTACTCAAAACTTTTCGACCATTTGAAGCACTTCTATAGAATCCATCTGCAAGCAGCAGGCTCTAATTATATAAGGAATCACCTTGAATTCCACTAATGGAGGAGGATTATGTCAATGATTTCTGCAACAACACAAAATATTAATTAAAAGCACTAAACTAGCAATAGTAATATAACAAAAAAACTCAGTGGGTAAACTAGTGGGGCTTCATTTCCATACAAAAAACTCCCAGTCAATAAATCCAGTGGATGACAGATTTTCTTATTATATTTAAAGAAAATTGATTTCAATCTATAGACTTCTTTCTCCAATCTAAACATATCTTAAAGATCATGCATAGATACCTAAAGAATTTGTTTCCGAGGCGATAATCATTCTTTGTTGGTTCAAAGTAAGAGGAACTTCGCCCTGACAACCTCTGTTGATTAACATCTCTGAGAACAAGCAGCTTGCGTCAATTAATTATATCCTTAAAAGAGCACGTGAAATCCATTATTCAGTTAAAATAGCTCCATTGTTTAAAAATATTCAAAATGACTAGGACTGAACAAACGTTCTGCAGTAGCATCAACTAGTGCCCAAGTGTCTAAGAGCATCAATATATAGCCAAGTGAACTGGTTATGGTAGACAATGTACCAATCTCTGACAAGGTGAGTTTTCCCCATTTCTGCTGTGATCCACCAAAAACGTCAAAGGAGAAACTATGATGAAATCAATAAAACATTCGAGAGGCTTTTAAAAAGAACAAATAAGAATTAAGACAACTAAAAGAATAGTGCTAATCCCATAAAGGCTAAATGGCAAATTAAAATTTAAAAAGCAATAGCATCTAGGATGAATAGACAGCAACACACAGTATCACAATCAACTTGGATGCCTTAAGATAACAGAAACACAAAAGACCAGCATTAACTACTTTCGCAATTTCCATTACACTTTAATTAATTGAATCTTGTAACAATAAGGAATCTCTATTTGTTAATCTAGGCCTAGAGTAATACACAATTTTGGTGAGTGCACAGAGCAAAATGAGAAAGAAAAAGCAGGGAACTAGGTCTGGGACGTAATACAGCGCAGCTAATAGAAAAATGAGAAATGTCACAAATAGAACTTAAAGTAAATTGAGGTTGCTAAACAAATTCAAGTGCTTGACCTTATTAAAACAGACAGATAAATAAAACTTACAATAAATTCTGGTTGTTACACAGTTTTTTTAATGGAACAGCTTACATTCTTCATAAATGAATTGCCTTCCCTTGAGGAATGCAACACAAAAGGAAAAATATGCATCAGACACAACTTTCTTTATTTTAGCTTCTCACCAGACACAAGAAATAATTCACAAGACAACCCAATATCAATGACAATAACAGGTAAAAACTTTTTACAAGTTTTAGCAATAACTCATAGCCTTTCACTGCAAGATAAGTACTCGAATATCAGAGCCATCAAAACAGGCAAATACTTCAGCCATGACAACAGAAACCTTTCCTAAGGATGTAATCTTGGGTCATCTCTCTCTTAGCTCCACAAACTCTCAATTTTAGGATGCTTGTAGGATATATCATTTGTAAGAAAAATATCCATTGACAAGTTCACGAAAAGAACAACAAATATAACTCTAATTTATCTCGGCAAAATGAGATCAAATTGAATGATCTCTACTCTATTTGGCATGACCTACACTGACTAGCCATGAATACAATGCATAAACCTTAGAATTTAAATAAAAGTTTACAAATGAGACCTGGGACTTACATATGTTAATGCTAACCTACATATGTTGTTTTTAAGAGATGGAAACATCTTATCTCAACCTTGGCATATGCAGCGTGGAAATATCTAAAATTTTTAAGTAGTGTTATCCCAAAAAATCTCCTTGACACGTGGCAGATGAAATGGCGTGCCACTTGCTTTGCTCAAAACAAGAAAGATTTCTCCGACGACCCTCTCTTCTTTCCAAGCGTGGAACTCAACTTGTGAGTTGATGGAAGAACGTCG